ATTAATTAAAAACTTTTCAAATCATACATAAAGTACGCCACTGAACGCGAATTAACTCCCGTCCCGAGCCTTAACCCGGAGTTCACGTCAATATTACCCACCGGTTTGACAGCGTATATTGGCTTAGATGAGGTAATTAAGCGAGGTAACCTTTAAAATAAAAATTTAAGTATTGTTGAAAAATTTTTGTGCGCCACAGGCGGGACGTATTAAAAGTGGCGATAAAGTGCTTATAACGGCATCTGCCGGAGGCACCGGACACATAGCCGTCCAATACGCCAAACAAAGGGGTTGTTTCGTGATCGGCATGACATCGTCCGGTGAAAAGGCAAAAGTGTTGAAAGGGTTGGGCGCCGATCGAGTGATTAATTATAAGACCGAAAACCTGGATGAAGTGCTCACTAATGAATTCCCGGTAAAATGATTATGGAGTATATAAATTAGATTTATAAAATCAAAACTAGCATTTTAACTCTGCTTTCATACGATTGGTAATGGCATTTAATAATATTGTATTGTCGTATGAAAGTAGATTTCAAATGCTAGTTTTGATTTTATATATAAGCAAAGGTAAAGCAAACTGATTTACAGTGCGAATCACGTTAACTCACCAGGGAGTCATTTTTAATATAGGACTCAATTATTAACACATATCTAATTATTTCTGATAAATAGTGTGTCCCCTGGAAAGGATTGTATCATTTGTATTGCACTTTTCATTAAATACAATGCAAATGATGCAAACACTACAGGGGCGACACAAATAAAAAATATATAGTTTACTCATTAAATAAGCTATTAATTAAATAGTTCAATTTAAATTTGATAATTTTTTATACTCTGTATAGTTTTAACACTTCAATCTGATAAATATGTACCTAGTTAATAATTTTATTCTGTAGAAAGGGATCGATGTGGTCTGGGAGACAATCGGTGGACAGGTATTGGAGACCCTGTTCAAACATTTGGCACCGAAGGGACGACTAGTCGTATTGGGGTTCACCGACAGCTATAAATCTGAGAACGTCAAAGAAGTACTATCGGTGCCCATACCAAAGGTGACCCACCTGGACACATTCTTAGCCATGTCGCTTCATAAACATTAAACCACCTTGTATTTAACAACTAGATTTTGATGCATAACCAAATTGTGACCGGGTTCATATTANCCTGGACACATTCTTAGCCATGTCGCTTCATAAACATTAAACCACCTTGTATTTAACAACTAGATTTTGATGCATAACCAAATTGTGACCGGGTTCATATTAAATGGTTACTTTGATTTGGCCCCAAAATACGTGAAACAACTGATCGATGACATCGAGACCAAGAAATTGCGTATACTTTCCGATTGTGGAGGAAATACTAGTGAAGGGGAGTTCATTGGTGTCGAGTCGGTGGTCAGGGCTGTTGAGGTAAGGCTAGATTATTAGACACTAATAATAATTATAAATCACTTATTATAAGAAAATGTTAAAATATTTATTTTTATTTTAGCATTTGCAGTCTGGTAGAAACATTGGTAAAGTTATAATTAAAATGTAACATCCTTTAATGTGTCTAAAATCAATTAAATATAAAAGCTTATAATCTTATTACAAAACGTAATTTTTTTTGTAAACCTTAATTTATATAAAATATATATTATATATTAAGAAATTATCAATAAAAATATCAGCACTTTTAATTTAAATGAGTTTGTCTTTTAAATTTGAATATAAGCTTAACACAACAAATTAATTTAATAAATAAATTATTATTATTAATTTTAAAATAATGCTTGGACCTAGCAACGATTTGTAACCATTGTGAATCATATTCATTTTTTACTACTTAATTATTAGGTATAACTAATATATTTATACTGAATGTTGAAAAAATATTTATTAAAATGTCAATTAGAATTATGACAAGTATAAATTACTAAATATGCTACTTACATATTTTCAACACTTTTGGAAAAATTGGTTATTTATAAATTAATAAGCAAATCGTTACTGCTACTTATTTTGTAAAATATTATTTAACGTATAATTGTATAGATACAGTACTACTACTTCAGATCGACAGGAAATGTAATAGAGATAAGCAAGGTCATTAAATGCATTATTGTTGTCTTACACTGTGCTAAGTCTTAAAACTGTATAGTTAGTGTTTGTAAAATGCTGTGTGTGAAATACCTAAAATCAGCGTAACCAAGGGTAATTCAACTGATATAATAGTTATTTGATAAAAATAAAATTGTCTACTACATCATACAATATAGCAGTTATACTAAATACATTTAAGGTTGGTTTGTGCAAAAGTAGAAGATTTTGAAAAAATAACTCTTCCAATATGTGGCCCAGCCAGTCACCATACCAGGCCATAGCAGTAACATGTATATGACTTTGGGAAAAGGAAGCATGTGAAAAACTGTTTTTTGGATTATTTTTATTTAGTCTAGTATACAACTAAAATGCAGTGCGAGTACTTTTCGAACAATTCATTATATCTGAGTCAATATATCCGATGAAACCTGACTTCTTTCGCATCTTTTAAGCTTTTTTTTGCTTACAACTAAATATTAATATCTTTTTAACTTAAACTCATAGACTTTATACACTAAAGATTTTGATATTTAGTCGTAAGCAAAAAATACTTGCAAGAAGCGAAAGATAAGCCTATATGTCAGGTATCATCCGTTATATTTACTCAGATATTACACGTTTGTTGAATTAACAATAAAATTCTTTAACATTTTGATTTATTCAATAAAAATCTTTATAATTATGATTATCTCAGTATTTAAATATTAATTAAATTTATAAATTATTTTATTATTTGAATACCTTTATTTAGTTACTACATGAGCACTGAGTTACATAAGTTTAAGTTTGTTGCATTCAATAATAATAATCACAATATTAATTGTGCATCTTAATCAATTTAATGAACTCAGTCCGTTACGTTGCACATGTTTATTCTATCGTGTTAATGGCGATTCCTAATTGAAACGGAATCGATCTTGCTACAAATACGCCGATAAAGTCACTATAAGGCAATTGATCATTTATAGGACCTCGAAAATCATATAGTAAATCCATTTGTTCCTTGGTCAAAGCACGATTGTTAGTGAAATCTGGCCCTGCACCATGCACGAAAAATTTGTTATCAGTGCGTAATACATATTCTTCGATAGGATAATAAAATGCCACCAATTTCATAGCGGACCCTGGTGCCATATCAAACTTTTGGACCGATTGACGTTCAAAAGTGACATTGCTGATTAGTTGATACATAGTGCATCGTATGTCACCTATGTCGTACTGGCATGGCTTTTGCCCAACCCTTAATTTTTGATCGAGGGTATTTGATATAAGGGCTTTTTGGTATGACAATGGCTGAGTTAACAAGCACAGAATCGTTATACGGTGAATGTCTGCAAATTGCCAATGTGATCACGATCTCAATTTGAAATTTGGCATATATAGCAGCTTAGTGGTTTTTTGTCAATTGAAGCTAGATAAGTTTATAATTAGTTTTATTTTACATTTAATTTTTGTATAATTATGTTCGTACCTGATAAAAGGTCTGCTCATGTAGTTTTACACTGGTACCAACTTGCTCATCTACACAAGTTTTATATAACCCTGTTTAATTTAATGTTTGAACCTGGATAATAAAATAATTTAATCGTTATCTTAACGGTGTCGGACATAAAAAGTAGACATGGTTTTAACCAAAGATTACCAAACTTATAATAATAATACAATTTTAAAAATTATATCATTTTAAAGCCTATTTATCAGACTGTAAGACACAACAAAATCATTTCATTACTGTTTGTAATCAATAAATACTGACTGATAAACGAGAGGTAGTTCTCAAACCCCTTTTGACTTCAATGTAAAATGCTATTATAAAAATGTATGTGTTTTAGAGTTTTGACAAAACGCACTCTCCTTGCAATTCTATTCAATGGGAAGCTCTCGCAAACCCCTTCCAGAACTACTTCTCGTTTATCAGTCATTATTTATTGATTACAAACAGTAATGAAATGATTTTTGTTGTGTCTTACAGTCTGATAAATAGGCTTTAAAATGATATAATTTTTAAAATTGTATTATTATTATAAGTTTGATAATCTTTGGTTAAAACCATGTCTACTTTTTATGTCCGACACCGTTACATGGTGCAAATAGAGATATTATTGTTACGTTTGTTTAACATTATAAATATATTATTTTATGCCATTAATAAAGCAATAATGTATTATTTATTGTAAAATAACTTGAGTATAAGTGTGCTTGCTAATAATACTTGCAATACAAAGCACTGTATGTTTTATACGGAATAATATTATTAATCTTTATAGGTAAGTAGTATCCACTTATAATTATAATCATTGTTTATAATTGTTTTTAATTATTTAATAAAGTATACTTATTAGTATTGCTATTCAATAATTATTCATTTCTAAAATGTTTGCAAAATTATATTGTAAACATATTTGTTAACATCATTAGGTTTAAGTTTAAAATGTTATTTTATTTTTTGAATGTTTATTCTTATTTACTTATCAAGGTATTTTAATACTACAATACCACAAACATATTTAAATGAGTAACTATTCCCACATAACTCCATAACTCATCAAAACTATAATTATATCAAGTGCATTTTAAATAACTATTTTGTTCCGTGTCAAATTATCAATTATATTATCATATTATCAGTATTTAACAGGGTCCTCTGTAAGTTATTCATGTTTTAATTTGCAACATTCATTTACGGTATTATTTAAACAAATTAACTTTCTCATTTCAGTATCAATATTTTATTCAGTAATAATCAGGATAATTAAAATTACAGTGGATTTAATAGCTGCATAATTTTAAATACAATTACAACATATTTAATTAAATTTGATTTTAAAATTATTTTCACTTGTTCAATTAATGCAGCATAAGCAAGTTGGTTTCTTAGTAGTACCAGTATAGCAACATTGCGGGTATCTACCCTTGCAACAATAGTATGATCCACACGGGGAACTGCATATATAGCAGCCTGGTGGGACACTGCCAGTTGAAGCTAGATAAGTTTATAAATAATATAATTTATGCAATTTAATTTTGTATAATTATATTTGTACCTGATGAATAGTCTGAGGATGTAGTTACCACACTGGTATCCACTTGCGCATCTACACCAATTTTAAATATCCCTGTTAAATTTTAAAATTTTATAATTAGATAATAAATTAATTTAAACATTATGATACCTGCTGAAAATAGGGATATTACTACAATTGTAATAATTACACGCATTTTAACTTATGTATAGAAATTTATACCAGATGCAATTATTTAATATAATAATATATCTATTACCAACTATATGTTAGTGCTATTTATATTAAAATTGAAATTGTTGAATAATGGTTCAATTAATTTTTTTATTATTTAAATATATTTATAATTTACAATTGCTTAGCAATTTAGGTAGATACTTATATAAAGTACAAAACTAGTGCAATAATTATTATAAAATCATTATAATTTCATGATGATTGTACTATTTAACCAAATGTCCGGGATGCATATTATATTAGACTAAATGATTTGAATTTATTTATTAATTCAAAAACAATTAGTTTACATTTTTATTACAATAAAATATTTAAACACATTTTTCATAAACATAATTTAATTTTACATTTAGGATTTAATTTAATTTTTATATAGCATGTGTTTATATTTTTAAATATATGTTTAATTAAATTTTTTTTAAAATATTTATACAAGTAACTCTAACTTTTTAATAATAGTTTTGCACAGACAATAAATAAAAATAAATTATATTAATATTTAATAAAAAAAACTATTCATGATACAAAAAATTTTATTTGATATAATTTATTTGATATTAATTTATAATACATTTATTTTATAATAAATTATTTAATAAATAGTTTCATTTATTCAGTAAAGGGCAACAATACCAAAAAATGATATAGTTAATATACTTATAGCAACATTGCGGGTAGCTATCAGGGCAACAATAATAGTCACCACACGGGTGACTACATGTATAGGAACTGGGTGCACCCCTTGTTGAAGCTAGATACAATTATAATTTATTTTATTCTGGCAATTTTTTTGTATAATTATATTTGTACCTGGTGAATAGTCTGGGTATGTAGTTTTAAAACTGCTACCAACAGCCCTATATACGCCAACATTATATAACCCTGTTAAAATTTAAAAACTTTTAAATGATAAGTTAATTTAAACATGATCAAACCTGTTGCAAATAGGAACATTATAACTATTGAAATAATAGCAAGCATTTCAACTTATGTATACAGATTTATTCCTGATACAATTATTTTTAAAAATTAAATATTTATTACAAATTTAATAATCAGCAACAAAAGCACGAAATGACATTGCTTATATTAGTATAACAGCATTGAGTGTATTGACCATTAGGGCAACAATAGGTGGCACCACACGGTTTACTGCATGTATAGCAGTTTGGAGGTTTACCGCCAATTGGAGCTAGATAAATATATAGTTATTTGACAATTTGTTAAGGTGTATTTATGTTTGTACCTGGTGAATGATCTGTAGATGTAGTTTTCACACTGGTCCCAACAGCCGCATCCACAACAGCTTTATATAAACCTGTTAAATATTAAAGATTTTAACCTTTCTAATAAAATAATTTAATTATTATCATACCTGCTGCAAATAGAGTTATTGCAATTAGTGAAATAATTAAACGCATTTTAACTCATGTATTTTATTAAGTATAATATATATATATATATATATATAAGTATTATATATATACTTTATTTAACTGTATTTAACACATGTAACTGTATTACAGAGCATTAAATATTTAATAATGTTGTGACTATTTGTAATTTTAATATAACTTAAAATTACCCAACATTTTAGGTAGTTAC